CCCCAAAACCCCAAAACCCCAAAACCCCAAAACCCCAATAATACTTAAATTTGCTGAATAAAAATAATAAAATATTAAGTAATGGATCAGAACAACGACCAACCAGAGGAGCCTGTGAAGGAGGAGAGTAAAAATGGGGATAAGAAAGAGGAGAAAGGTGATAAGGAAGAGGAAAAGAAAGTGGAAGAGAAGAAGGAAGTGGAAGAGAAGAAGGAAGTGACTTTTGGAGGGTTCCTAAAGACGTCTAATGATAAGCCATGGGCTGATAAAAATTGAGTATTCATCATGGACAAGTACCTTCTTGGCTACAAAGCCGATGACGAAATAGATATCAGCACTAAGATAAGTAACCTCCTCAAAGACCTACAGATCCTCTTCGACTTTGACGAGGAGCCAGAGGTAGAAGACTTTGTCAAGAAGTCGGTCAAGGAGAAGCCCAAGCGGAATGTTAAAGAGTTTAAAGAGATTGTGTACCAGTTGATTAGTCAATACCGAGAGCAATCCATATCGACTTATTTGGCAGAAGGAATGAATAGTGTGCAGAAAGCGTTTGAAACGAACAAGGAAGATGTGGAGAAGTACTTCCTGAAACAGAAGAATAGGGATCTAGATTCAGTTAAAACAAAGAATGTTGCTAGAATCTTAGAAGACCTATTTGAAATCCTCTATTTAAGGCTTATTAACCTAGACCATCTTGTGCCAAAAGATGACTCAGGGATTGTAACACAAGCTGGAGAGAAGGAATATGCTGAGGTGATCCAAAAATGTGCCGATAGTATGAAGATCGAAGAGATTAATGAAGGGAATATTTTGAATATTATACAACTATACCTCAAATCGGGATCTGCAAAATACTCCTTTGCATCAGTTCCTAAATTTGACGACAAAGACGGAATTGATCCTTACGCTGACCTTGGCGATGTAGCTCCTGGCGAGAGCCCGGATGACCAAGTCAAGGAAGATCCGAATGACATGAATTATATTGAAAAGAAAATTGAAGAAGCGGCTGAAAAAGGGGATGAGAAAAAGGAAAAATTATATAAAAGGATCAGACAATATCAGCAACTCAAAGAATTTTCCCAGAACGTCTCTCAAAATGAAGGTATTAACATCATGATCGATAAGGCAATGAAAGAGATCAAGGAACTTGAAGAGCAAGAGCAAATGGCCCATGATGAGGGTTTTAACGAAGAAGAAGAAGCGGAAGATGAAGACTTTGACCAATACCAAACTCAACAAGACTATTCTAAAATGTCTAAACAGGGAGAAACTCTTGAAGAAAAGAGAGAGAAAGGTCTTAGAGAAATCTTCGAGTTTTATGCCAAGTCCCAAATGCTTATTGGGAGAAAGGCCACTTTTGAGCAGATCCAGCATGAAATCTCCAACTTAAATTTAGGTGAATATATGAAGTTTTGTAAAGATTTCAAAATCCCTTGAAATAAAATAAAAATAGCAGAACTTTTCAAGAAAATTGCCATGAACTCAAAAGAGCTATTCTTTGATGACTTCAAAAATACTCTATGGAAGCTTCTGGAGACCAGAGATAAAGAAGAAATTGATAAACTTAAGAAAAGACTGCGAGAAATCAAAAGACTGCTTAAGAAGAAAGCACCCAAGGCTCCCTCAGATGACCTCAAAGAGGTTATCAAGCAGGAAAAGAACGATAAGGGAGAAATTAAGGACAAGAAAGAAGATAAGAAAGAAAACAAGAAAGATAAAGAAGAGAAACCCAAAGAGAAAGAAGAACAGAAGGAAGACCAAACGGATGAAAAACCTAAAGATAATAAGCCTGTTCAAATTTCAAGGCCGAAAGGAGGAGATCCTAAAAATGTTGAGACACTTCAGTCTATACAGAAGGAAAAGCAGGGTGATGAGGAGTCTATTAAAGGCGAAACTCAAAAATCACCTAAAGACTCTAAAGAGGATCCTGAAATTAATAAGAAAATGATGAGTGCAATTGAGAATCAAGAGAAGTTCAAGCAACCACCTGATTTCCTCCAAAAGTCTTCAGAAGAACCTCAAAATCAGAATTTGGCTAAAGAGGACCAAGAGTTAACTAATGAGCGTGAACGCATTTTGGCGAAAATTCAATCACTAAAAGCTCCTACGGAAGAGGATTATCGTGAGGAAATCTTTACTTACTTACATGTTGACCATGATAAATCATTCCGTACTAAAATTCAAAATTTCTCTTTGCCCTTCAACACCAGAGCAAAGAGAGAGGACACCAACAACTACAAGCATAAGAGCAAAAAGGACATTGACAAGATCAAAATGGAGGTTCAAAAGCTAAAGCAGAAAAGGGAAATGGCCAGAAGACTTGAAGAGAAGAAGAAAGAGACACTTTACCAAAGAAATCAAAACATTATGAAGCGTATGCATGAAGATCTCATTAGGGATAAAGGAGGCTATGTGGAACCACCCATTCAAGGAGGTGTTAATTCACTTCACCCGACTCTGAATAAGCAAAGAATCGGCTACCAGGTTCCCAGGAAGTTCACACTTGAGTCTCTTGGACGTATGGATTATAGAGATTTTAACCCACAAAGCACACAAGTTGATGAAGTCGAAGATGATTTTAAGCCAAGTGATGTCATTGATTCTGAAGAGGATATGGATGAGGAAATAGAAGAGTTCTATCAATTTAAAAACAGGAACCCTCAAGCTGAAAATTATGCCCTTTCCGTCGCTAAAACCTCAGTCTCAGCTCATCAGTTACACGACCCAGGCTTGAATGTAAATTCCAGCCTAAGTACCAACCCAATGAACCCTAAAAAGCTCAATGCAGCGATTGGGTCTCAAAAGAAGGTAAATCACTCTATAATCCACAACCCTAAAATTAAGAACATCGGTGGTCGACTAAAGAACTCAATTCTCCCCTCCCAAAAACACTTCAAGCCATACAAGGTGGCTCCTTCAAAGCCTAGAGGAGTGTACCACAGTCACCACCCTCGCTCTTCCCACCCACAGAAGGCTAAAAGGAAGCCTATCGCTCTATACAACACCAGGTCACACAAATCCGTTCATAACTCAGTCACAGATTATTCCTCCGCCCAAAAGAACAAGGCTGATCAAAGGATAGCCAAGCTGAGGGTGGCTAACAGTAAATCTCTGGTCAGGGCTCATAAGTTTGATGCCCAGAATAAGTTGAGGCAGGAACAGAAGCTAAAGAAGAGGATTTTATAAGGAGTTTATAGTTAGAATGTTTGTAAGGGGATTATGAAGGCGAGGGTTTTTGTAGAGAGGGATTTTGAGAAGGGGAAGGTGAGTAGGGGAAATTTAAATTGGGATGGATTGAGGGTTCTATTTTGGATTATTAGGTTGGGGTTTTGGGGTTTTGGGGTTTTGGGGTTTTGGGG